TACTTAGACTGTTCACAGAAAAATAAGTGTTTTTTTGTTGGTATAAAATAAATAATCATCTTTTTTTTTTTCAGAAAACACAAAAAAACCTTACCAAAAATGTATCATATGACATTATTTGCTTCACTGTCCCGTTGCCTCAACCATTTTATTTACTCTTCAGCTGTCAGTCATGCAGTAAATGGTCTCATGTTTCACTTTAAACAACTTTGGTACCCAGAGGTGCCCATGATTACACTTAGTGGGCCGTGGTCCCATTGCATCGCTACACCTCCCTCATGCTTGACAGTTGTTTGTAGATTTTCAGTCATCCAGGACACGGCATACCAGTTTGTGATATGTTATTTAATTTATTTAATCAAACATGTTAATGTGCATTATTACCAGATGTTGTTCCGGAGTTGTGTAGTTTGCTTAGATGCAACTTCCTGTTGCCATCTTGCTATTTTATTTATTTATTTGCAAGAAATTTAACCTTCTAGAAAAGCTTTAAGAAGCTGCTTGGTCTTTTTTCTTGTTGCTTTGGAATTATTTTAATATTTGACCATTTGAATCAACCCTGTAGGCTTCAGGTTTTGGGACTTTCTATAAGATTTCCTGGTCTAACCTGAAGAGGATTTTAATGGGACGCACTCATGGAAAGATCAGCAGCTATACTGACTCTGTCACTCTTATGAACAACCATTAGTAATGTCTAATGATGGACTTCAAAACAGTTTGAAAATGGCTTCTTTTGAGTTTAATGAGCAGCAACAGATGCTTTTCTGTGATGATTGCTGATGCATTTCCATCTTGATATAGAGTTACCATAGATCAGCACCACTAAATCATCAGCTTGTGTAGAGGAGCTGTTTATGATGAATTGATGAATGGATTGAATTGACAGCACCTGATTTCTACGGAAGCAGTTGTGCACTAAATGTTCACACATTCATGCTTTGAATAATAGAAATTGGCACTCTGTAATAGTTTGAGTGATGACCTTTGTTTGTGGTTATCTAATTTAAGAGAAGAAGCAGATACATTGTTGTGACTTGACACATCTAAACTTACAGAAGTTATGTGCCTGACTGACGCTCTTTACCTTTGCTTTAGAGACGGGGAGTGAGAGCTTTGACAAGTTTCTCACTCTGCTGGGTGACACCGTCACACTGCAGGGATGGGCAGGTTATCGTGGTGGACTAGACACCAAGAGTAAGAACCCCGCCGCCTTCTCACCCACATCATATCAACATAAGTTTATGGTTGAAAAAGCTCCAAACGTGTTCATGTTTTAATGTCTTTGTTTTGTTTCCTGTTTAAAGACGACACTACAGGAATTGAGTCCATCTACACGGTGTATCAAGGCCATGAGCTCATGTTCCATGTGTCCACCATGTTACCTTACTCTAAAGACAACAAACAGCAGGTGTGTGTATGTGTGTGTGTCTTTTTGGAAGGTTACCCAGCATGCCTCTGACTGCTAAATGACTTTAGATTATCTCTCAAAGCACCACACAGTTCAGCTATACAGTATCTACAATATATAATGATGCACAAGCAAAGGTTCACATGTGGCCACCGGAGCTCCTGGTTTGAGAATATTTTTAATAAGACTTAAGGGCAGCAACTGTTTGCTCATGGCTCAGTTTTCTTCTTTTGTCTGCCTTT